AGGGAGCGCACACCCGGGCGCCGGCGCAGCGCAGCGCAGAGATGGGGCCGCCCCGAGGTGCACCTGCAGCCCCGCGCCGCCGGAGGCTGTGAGCCCGGCGAGCCGGACCGGCTTGCGGCCGAGACCTTCCACAGCACAAGGCCAGGTGACCCCTGCCATTCGGAGCCTCCACATTGGCATCCGCGCGCCACCTTCTCCCGGGCACGGCGCTGCTCGCGTCTCGGCGCCAGGCGCGCGCAGGGGAAGGGGCAACTAAAGTGACAGCGCCCGGGACCCCTCCCCATCTCCCCGACTCCACTCCCAGCCCCCAAAATGTCCCCAGCGTTTTTCTGAAGGAGGAAAACGGGGGAGGGGGGTGGACCACAGCCTTTACATCAGGGGGCAGCGAAAGCCCATTGGAATCGCTGCCGCGGAGGTGAAGGGAGGGGCAGGCGGGGAGTCATCTCTTCTAGAACCCGATCCATATCTTCCTCAGAGCGATGGCAGTCCTCGTCAGAGAAAACGGATTACAGGTTCGGTTTCGGGGGGGGCGTCATTGGGACCCCCCCCCCACACACACACATATAGGGCACACGCCCATTGCGGCAAAAGGCAGCGATCCAGAGAGCATGGCAGCCCCCTCCCCCAGGTCACCGCCACCCCGCGCCCCACCCTGCGGGCACAACCTCTGCCCGGGTCCGCGCGAAGCAGGTCGTGTGGAACCCCCAGCACACACCCGCACACACACATGCACACACCCGCACACACACGCGCAACCTGCACACACCTGTGCACACACATACACACACACACACACGTGTGCATCCCTTGTATGGGTCCCTTTCCAAGCCACCCCAGACCTAGCTCCCGAAGGAACAGAGCACAGGGAGTGGCCCTCACCGATGCCCCCACCAATGTCCACCTCATGAAACCCATCTCTGAGGCGGCGGTATGCGGGCGCAGGGGGCGGACCGGGAGGCACAATTTAGAGCCTTGCGCCTACCTGATTGTAGACAGAGGGCGAGGACAGCAGAGGAAAGCCGAGGAGCAAGTGTCTGTGGTGGCGGCGGCAGAAGGTGGGCGGCGGCGGCGGCGGCGGCGGTGCTGCTGCCGGTGTGGGAGCTGGTGGGTGGCGGAGACTGCGAGCGCGCGCACCAGCCGGAGGGCGCGCTCCCGAGACGGAGGGCGGCGCAGGCGCGAGCAGCGGGAGCGCGGCCTCCCCAGGGGCGGGGCGGACAGCGAGGCCTCCGCGGGCGTCTTCTCCTCCGGCCACCAGTGGGCGCGCGCGAGCGCCCCACCCCACGGCGGTCGCCGGCCTCCCGGCTGGCTCCTCCCTTTTCCCACCCCTCCCCGCGGGCTGGGAGACCGGCCGCCACGCGCACGCGCGTTCCGTGGCGCACGCGCATTCCAGGTCTCTTCCCGCCCCGGCTGGAGCCTTTGTTTTATCGGCGGGTTTTTCTCCCCCAGAGGGAGGCTTGGTTGTTGCCTGGGGTGGAGCAGAGGCTGGGTGCCCCGCTCCTAGATCTGCCGCTCCCTTCCTTCTCGCCCTTGGTGACGAAAAGGGACCACGTGCTAAGCTGACCAGCTCAGGGCAGGCCTGCATGGCGGCCTTGCAAACTCAGAGACCTGAAGTGACCACAAAGGATGGTCTGAAATTAAAACTTTTTAAACTAAAAAGCAGTTTATGGTGAGTAGTCATGTCCTAGGCCGGTATCTTTCCTGACAAAGGTTAGTCGTTACCTTAACTGAGCCCATTTTCTTTCTGCGTCTAAGATATATGGTTGGAATGTCAAAGTAATGCTCCTTTTTCTGGACCCCTCAAAGCACAGGCAGCGCTCTTCAGAGACCACACACCCCTCATTGTTATTGAGTGAATTGCTGACTGTTAACTGTCCTGCACCCTCTCCAGTAAAAGAAGTGTGTGCCTATCAGTTTACTTTTTATCCAATCCCAGAGGTTTCCTCACTTTGCTTTCTCCCACCTCCCTAAGCTATCACCAGTGGGTTTTACTAGTATGTAACCCACTACGTCTCCTCTTTTGATTGCAGTGTATACCGTAAAACAGGGTGCAAAACTGCCCTTCTCCAGAGCATTATTTCAATCTGTTGAGATTCTGCTTCCCAGCAATTGTCCATAGTTTGGCTCATATAAACTCACAAAAATTCTTCACAGGTTTGAATGCGTTAACATCCTCCTCGGGTGATAGCCAATCTCGGAAAGGTCTTGGGCTTGTTTCCTCAGTCCCTCCACCCTGGACCTCAAGGCCATCCCCAGGTTCAGCCTGCTTGTGGCTCGCGGGCACCCTGACCTTTACCGGAGTCTCCCCAAATGGTCCCCCTGTTGGAGATAAGTTTCCCTGGGCCTGCTTCCTTTCCACCTGTTTTCTTTCCACCTTTCTTGTTATTGACCAAGGCTACTGCTTTTCTTAGCAAATACTCTGAAACCAGGCTCATTCAGTAGTAATCCAGTAGTGAAGGTTTTTTTGTGTGTGTGTGTGTGTGTGTGTTTAACAAGGAACTTTTGAATCTATTATTTATCTAAGTGACCAGAAAATAAAATCTTAAATTAGATGAAGGTTCAAATGGTGTGAGCAGCCAGACCGGTTTGGCTCAGTGGATAGAGCGTCGGCCTGCGGACTGAAAGGTCCCAGGTTCGATTCCGGTCAAGGGCATGTACCTTGGTTGCAGGCACATCCCCAGTAGGAGGTGTGCAGGAGGCAGCTGGTCGATGTTTCTCTCTCATCGATGTTTCTAACTCTCTATCCCTCTCCCTTCCTCTCTGTAAAAAAATCAATAAAATATTTTTTTAAAAAGATCAAATGGTGTGAGCAGCAGGAGTGAGAGACTCCCCAGGGGTGGGACGGGGCAGGGCGGGGCCGGGAGGGCGGGGAGGCCTCCACCAGGTCGCCCCCTTCCCCTCCCCCGCCCTCCCCCTCCTCCCACCAGTGTGATTAGCGCCATTTGAACTCTGGGGTTTTCCTCTGCCTACAACGTGCTTGCTTTTCTCCATGCACCAAAATCCTACTAACCCTTCAAACGCTAGCTCAAATTTTACCAACACCTAACCTAATCACCCACTGGAAGGGATATTTTCAAACTCTAGGAGAAACATAGCAGTTACTCATCTTCTCTCTGAAAGTGGAGGGGGAGTGGAATTAATATCAATCTTATTTTAAATTTCATTGTTCTCCCCAATTGTTTTCTTGCCCCCTTTCCTGTGAGGGGATTATATGTCCTCTCCTGTTACTATGTAATCTGGACTGCCCTCCCTCTTCACTCCTCCACTGATATTTGGCCTGGTCATATGAAAGTAATGTTCCTTTTTCCGGACCCCTCAAAGCACAGGTACATGGATGTGATATAGGCATGTTTGGGCAGAAGCTTTAAGAGGCATTTTGAGTTTCTACCACTTTTACTTGTGTTTTTCCCCACCAGAATGGCATGCCCCTATGAGACTACTCCTTTAGCTGAGGCCCCAGAATGAAAAAACACAAGGAAGTACATACATGTGTAACATGAGCAATAAATAGACATTTATTGTGTGAGTGACTGATAAAAGGGATAATATATATAATATATATATTGTATATATAAATTTCTTATACAGTATGTATTTGTGCAGTTTTTTACACAGTGCTTCACAAATAGTGGTCATTCATTAAATGATAAATAGTAGTTATTCCATCATCACCATCAATGCTTTTGCTACACATTATTTTATTTCTATATGTAAAATAAACTTTAGCAGTCAAACACTCTTCCCATTGACATTTTTCATTTTCTTTCCTTTAAGATACAGGATAATCGAGAACCGACAGGAACCCAATGCCACTGTGGTCTCTTGATACTGAATGATCACATTTGCTTACATTAAATTGAGATAATGAATGCTAGAAACAATCTTAAGAAGGTCTGTCATTTAACTGTATGTAATGTGGTGTTGAGTGTCCATTCCAGATAATTTAATCACCGGGGGTAGCTAATGGCTCACTAATTCAGGCCAAGGAAATGCATCCTCTCACTTCCTCCCTGCCCCTCCCTCTTGTTGAGATAGAGGTCTCCTAAGTAATTCAGCACACCATGTCTACCATACAGAAGCATAGAAGCACAGGGAAAGAGAACTGGATGAGGTTTCATAGCCATCCTGTGTGACCTTAAACAAATTCATTAACTTTTCTGGGCTTCAATTTTTTAATGTAATAGTGTCCCAGGCAGGATTGGAAATGAGATCCAGATACCTATAGAATTTATACAAGTCCAAACAGGAAAATAATACATGGATCTGGGAACCAAAGGTTGGAAGCTGAAGTTCTACTTCCCAACATTCCCAGTGACTCCCCCGGGGAATCTGAGCTTCCCATCCTCACAGCTGTAGGCTCTGCAGGGTCAGAGGTCCTGGTCTTCCACAGGGAAAACTTCGATCAGAGTACACAGCAAGAGTTTCATTAAATTGTAAGCTGTGGCTGCTACCTGAGTACTTTGGATCCAGAGAGGAGCAGGCAAGAAGAGAAGGTACTGTCTTGGCAGGAATAATGAGCTTTAATCATTGGCAGGAAGTAGGACTGCTACCATACAACAGGAGCAGGGAGAATACATTTGTCACGTGGACATCTCTTGGTACTCCCTTCTGTTAAAAGACAGGACATCAACCCTAGCCTGAGAAAGTGTATTAGTTTCCTATTGTTGCTGTAACAAATGACCACAAACTTAGTGGCTTAAAACGCGGCAAATTTATTACCTTACAGTTCTGGAGCGAGACCCATGGGGTGTTAGGGCTGCATTCCTTCTGAAGGCTTGGAAGGAGAGGCTGCTTCCTTGCCTTTTCCAGCTCCAGGGTGCTGCCCTTGGTCTTTGGTTTGCCACCGCCAGCCAGCAGTCACGTTACTCCAACCTCTGCTTCCGTTGTCACATCTTCTCTGACTCCTGTCTCCCAGTTTCAGTTGCCATCCTGTGATTGATTACACTGGGCCTACCTAGATAATCCAGGATAATTTCCCCATTTCAAGATTCTTAATTTAATCACAGCTTCCAAGTCCATTTTGTCATGTAAGGTAATATATCAACAGGTTCCTTGTATTAGGACATGGTCATCTTTGGTGGGGGCATTGTTCTGCTTACCACAGAAGGACATGGTGACCAGGGCACAGACTCCTCAGGGAAGATGACCTAGGCCTAGGGTAACTCCACATCTAATGGCTGACCCAGGTGGGCAGATAAATATTTAACATGGGGCAACTCTGATGGTCCCTTTTGGTTCCAGGGATGCCCATGTGGTCAGGGGAGGCTGCTGTTGGCCCTGCATCACAGCTTGACGTCTGTTTTGCACAATCCTGTCTTTCTCTCCCTTCCACAGTTATCAGTCCCAAGGACACTGCCTAAATACCTCCCATGCTGAACTCTGCCTCAGAATCTGCTTCTCGGAACCCAGCCTGTATCTTCATGCCTGCATTAAATAATAAAACCTAGCAGTAGGTTTAATAGCTTTCCTAATTAAAATAGAGGTAAATATAAGTGATAGTTTGAAATATTTATAACACATGTGCTGGGACATGAAAATATCTATTAGTGACAAAGTCACAGGTAGTGTTAATACTGTATTCATTACCGAAATGCTAGATTCCAATAGAGGTTGTGAAAATAAAGATGATTTTTTTTCTCTCTCTCAGTTTGAGGACCCTCTGGTTAAGAGCCCTTCTTTTTCTACATAGTGGGGGTTTAGTTAATAAGTCCATTCAATTGAATGAAGTAAAGGATACAGAGAAATGAAATTTCCTTAATACTGGATCAATTAGTCTTAGATTTCGTTCTGTGTGACAAAAAATCAAAGCAGCTGTGGTATACACAAGACAAAATTTTATTTCTCCAGGAATAGGAATGAAGGTCTATTTTAGGAACTCTGAGGCCTTCTTGGAGCCCATTTCCACCTATTTGATTTCTCTGTCATCCTTAGCTTGCTGCCCCATAACCCAAAGTGGCTGCTTGAGCTCCTGGCAACACATCCCCAAAAGGAAGATTCGATAATGAAGTCCTTTAAGGACAGTACCTGGAAATCA